AAACTTCAAAGCTGGCTTTCAAGGTCAAGAAACCAGGCGGCACTTGCTTTAATCAGAGAGCTACAGTCAAGAGGAAGGGGCTACCTGGCCACAAGGAAGCGATCATGCTTGCTAATCAGCCCGTCAGGCTGGCAGCCGTGTCCTTCGACAAAAGAAAATGACGGCCCGACTTGAGACTTTCAACCAGCAACCTGGGATGTTTTTTTCCCACTTTGGAGGAGCCGCTGCTAGTTCATCTGGCTCATGGAGTGACAGGGTGATTATAATTTATTTTGACACTCAGGAGAATATTGTGACGGGGGAAAAGTCAGAAATGTACTGTGTGGAAGCCCCAGTGCGTGTCTGTCGTATAATTATCCTTTCTCTGCTGTCTGGAAACACAAGACAAGCCCGGATGGGAAGCTGCCTGGGCTGGTGAAAACAAAGTGGTGGACATGGACTCCAGTGTGTGGGACTGCATAAGAGGAGAGGTACAGGCATCACCCACAGGCAATTGGAGCAGGTACACTGATGCCCACCTGCTGCATGTCAGCCTTGGGCATAGCATTGATGTGTGACCCAGGAATCCCATTCCAGCAAGGACCTCCAGGGCACCTTGAACAGGAAGCTCAGAGGCAGTTGTGAAAAATCTCCAGGCACACTGCTTAGTTGTTCGTTCTTCTTTGAAGACAAGGTACTGGTGGCTCTGGTCAGTGTGGAATGAGGCAACACTACAGTGAATGGCAAGAAGGCAATTCAACTCAAAGAACACTGATGAAGACGTACTGCATGTCAGATACTGGGCTTACAAAATGAATAAAAGAGTCTATACTGCTCAAGAGCTCACATCTAGGACCATGTGGCCCATCACGAAAAGATAGACAGTTCTGAGATAAAGAGGTTCCATCAACAGCAAAGTTTGGCGAGTGCGGCAGAGTCCACCCGCTCTTGGAGATTGACGCTGTAAGTGTGCTTAATAAAGGCATTGAAAAGTCCTCCAGGGAAACACTGCTTCGCGGTGTTTGTCACATATTTCCCAAATCTGTTTCTCCACTGAATCTATGAAGCCAGAGTTCCTCGGAACCAATTTAGGGAATGCTGGTTTAGGGAGTTTATCCAGCCTTTGCAGAACACAGAAGTAAAGAAACCATGATCCAGCCTCCAGAGGAGGTACTGGCGAGGGCCAAGCATTGCACTCAGCAGATAGGCTGAGGTTCAGAGTAAAGCCTGGTCTTAGAGGCAGACTAGAGGACCACGTGGAGACATGGTATAGACTACAGAATGTGTGTATGCACATGTGTGTGTGTTGAGGGTTGTTGTGATAGCCACAATAGAAACCCAGATCTGCACGCTAAGACCATGGGCAGGGTGGAAGGGAGAAAGGACCTTGTGAGAGAGAGGGCTGTCCTGTCACCCTTTTTCCTACATTCTTTGCACAACTTAATCCTAGTCTCCTGTATTTTAGGCCTTTGCCTGCACTGCCATAATTGGCTCAGAAGCCAGGACAGAGTTTAATACTACAGGGCATATTCTCTGAACACTAATGTACTAGGCACTGTACAAATAGGTCATCCCATGAAATCCTCACAACAAGCAAAGAGGAATGTTGAAAACGGGGAAACTGAGGCTCAGAGAGAGATGAATACTGTGGCCGTGGGCACACAGCTTCTAAAGACTTGAACCCAGATATGTCACCTCAGAGTCGTTGTTTTCAATGCTGCAAACCTATTTACGTGACTTATGCACAATGCGGTTCCCACAGAGGCGCGATTTCCTCCAAAGTAAATCCAGCGATGCATTCGTGTCTGGGTTGAGACAAACACGGGGCTGAAGACCGAGTTCAGTTGTTCTGTAAAAATCCATTAAAATAGAAAGCATTTGCTGTGTATGCTTGGGAATATTCCAGGATAATTTTGTGTTATATCGTGTTGTCAAATCTGTAAACAAAAAGATATCCTCAGTGAATTTCCTGGTGAAAACTAAAGACTCATCAACCTGAGAGGTCTTTTTTTTTTCTTCTTCTAATCATTTTAATGCATATGTCAGTTGCAAGCCATGATGACTTCATTTTTATACCCTCTATGACTTCAATTAAAGGCAGATTAAATAGGGCACAAATCCAATCAATCAAACATTTATTAGACATTAACTAGGTGCAAGGCCCTGGGTCAAGTGTACTTAACCAGAGACTGGTGTGGAATTGATGGGGTTAAGGCTTCCTTCTATGTCTTTGGCCACACGGAGCTCCCTACAGCAAATCCCTGGGTAAGATCACAGGCCTGAAATCTGCCTCTGATTTCTGATGGGGTAATTCTCAAGTTTGCCTAGATTAGGAAGGTTAATATGTGTCACATTTCACATCAGTTTCCGTAGACTGCGAGTGACGGCCTAGACCACTGTTTGATATCACTGGTTCTGCAGCATGGTCAATGGGAGACAGAGCCACGTTGTTCCTGCTGTCTTCCAGAGGCAAGGGGGCTGCATAGGCCAAGAATGTGCTTTTTGGGCGCTGAACCTTGAAGCTTGCCCTGAGACCATTTCTCAGGGCAAAGAAACAAGGTGGATAGGAAGTGCACCTTGAAGCATGTGGCTGGATGGCACCATTGGTGAAATTAACCGAGACTGCTTAACAAATCAATCAAACATTGAGGGTGGCCAGATCTTCCTTGTTTATCTGATCAGTCAGGCCTAATGGCTGATAATCTAATTCCAGTGGTGAGGGAAAAAAAACTGGCTTTGATGATTAGAGAAGCATTGTTATGGAAGGGAAAGCAATACTGGGCGGTGGTAAAACCAGATGAATTCTATCTTTCCTTTAGGCCTCAGTGTTTTCTTCGTATGAGTATTCCTGCTTCTTTGATGAACATACATCAGCTGCTTTGATCTCTTCCGGTTAGGTTACACTTTGAGTCCAGACAGATTCAAAATCAGAAGATGAGGCCTTACATTTGTAGAAGAATATATTGGGATAAAAAGTTATAGTTAGGCAGGATGCCCTAAGCCAAATATGATAGCAATACAATTGCTATTGTCAATCATCAAAACCAACAGGCATGTTTTTATGGGTACTTATAATTATACTCTTTGTAAATTAAATTTTAATGGCCAAAGCAATACATTCACCTTGTAAAAATAAACAAAATGTTATAGATGAGGCCAACATCTTTCCCGATGACCATACCAAATCCCAATCCCCTCTCTTCTTCTCCACATTTAACCACCATCACCAGAAAGAAGTTCTCCTTATAGACCTTGTTCTATGCACTTATAAACTGTACCTGTAAAACATGTGAACACAGTATTGTGGCATGTTCTGTGTGCAAGTTCACAAAAATGATATCACTATCATCCTGTGGGTAAGGAAAGTTAAAATGTGCCACATTTCACATCAGTTTCCGTATACTTCAAGTGGCTGCCTGGACCGCTGTTTGAGAATGCTGATTCCATGCCGGGGTCAATGGGAAACAGAACCATGTTATTCCTGCTGCTCTCCAAAGGCAAGGGGCTGCATGAGCCAAGAATGTTCTGTTCTGGTGCTGAACCCCGAACATTCCTCAACCTGACATTTTTACTAAATGATATATCTTGAAGAGTTTCCCACATTAGAACCCATTAGATCTACAATCTTTTTAAGCTGCTATAAAATATCTCAGTGTGAGAATACTATCATTTTAACAATTCCCCTGTTGATGAACAGCTAGGCTGTTTCCAAATTTTTCACCTAGACAGATAATTCGGCTAGAAATTTGTTTGCACAGGTCCCTTGTGGACACATGCAGTTGTTTCTGAAAGTAGATGCCAAGGAGGTGAAGGCATTGTGTTACTCTTTGCTGCCCAATGGTCCTTGACAGCGGATATACCCGTTTCCCTTTATATCAGCTGCATGGGAGGAACACCCATTATCTGACACCCTTATCAATCATTGACGTAACCTAACACTCCACATGCTTGTTATAGAATCAGGTCCTGTTTGTGTGACTCTTGCTTGTTTGTGAGTGAACCCAACCGTGGTACCCTCATTTTATATTGGAAGTCCCTAAAATAACACGGCTGCTACATAGTAGGTACACATTAGGTTTGTTCTCATTCCCTTTAACTGGAATGTCTTTTTGCTTTGGGGTCCCTTCTACTTGTTCCTGCCTACTCTCTTCTTAGGTGTGTGCATCAGACACCTTTGTGCAAACCCCAGACTCACTGAGGTTGTTTGCCTCTGTATTCGTAACATCCTCTCTCAATGTGCCTGATAGGTCTTATGCTTGTTATATGTGTATCTCTTCTACTAATTTCTGAGCTCCTGCACACCCAGGAACATGCCTCTTTGTATTCTTGTTTCCCCAACACCCAGCCCAGGCGCATAGAGTTGGCATTCAATAAGAGCTTTAAAAATGAAGGCCATGGCTAGGTGTGATGGCTCATGCCTGTAATTCCAGCACTCTGGGAGGCCGAGGCAGGTGGATCACCTGAGGTCAGACAAACCGGGCCAAAATGGTAAAACCCCATTTCTACTAAAAATACAAAAAATAGCTGGACATGTTAGTGCACGACTGTAATCTCAGCTACTCAGGAGGCTGAGGCAGGAGAATCACTTGAACCTGGAAGGCGGAGGTTGCAGTGAGCCGAGATCACGCCACTGCACTCCGGCTTAGGTGACAGAGTGAGACTGTGTCTCAAAAAAAGAAAAAAAAAAAAAAAAAGGATGTCCCTGTCGCAAAGCCACGTCCACAGTGGAATGAAAACCCCTGAAAATAAACAGTGTGTCAACACAGGGAAAAATTAAGCGGTCAGTCTGCTGAACAGCAAAGATTTTTTTTTCTTTATTTCAGGTCTTTCCATGGGATGGAGCAGGGAAGGAAAGGAGGAAGAACAGCTGAAACATAGCAAAGCTTAGGAAATGCTTTTCTTTTTTAATTTGGAGAGTGATTGGCACACTGCTGCATTGCTATTGCCCAGGTGGGGAAGGGGCTCTGACCGTTGCTGACCCATTGGTAACCATTCCCTGCCTTTCTGTCGTGCCCCGATAGGGACCACGGTGATGCGGATGACAGCCTTTGATGCAGATGACCCAGCCACTGATAATGCCCTCCTGCGGTATAATATCCGTCAGCAGACGCCTGACAAGCCATCTCCCAACATGTTCTACATCGACCCTGAGAAAGGAGACATTGTCACTGTTGTGTCACCTGCGCTGCTGGACCGAGAGGTGAGCTGAAAAGAATGCGCTTTCTTTTTCACGAGAGCAGAATGTGGCTTCGTGCAAGGGATGATGTGGGGCTCCAGTCAGTGGCTTTTTAGACTGTAAAGGCAGAAATCAGGTGTTTACCGTGTTTTAGTGGGGAAAATCTATAAAGGGAAATGGGATATTACGGGACCCCAGAAAACACATGCTCTAACAGGCTAAAGTGCTTGGAACTGTTTGTATTCACTCAACCTGATACCTGTTTCCTCAACAGCCACTTATTCTCTAGGCCCTGGTGATTCCAGACTCTGCCTCTAGCCCCTGCTTTGATGCTAGAAGGGAGAGGGAAAGATGAGGGAAGGAGGGGAAGGGAAGGGAGGTGGCTTCGTCCAAGATCACAGAGGCTGTCCCTGCTGCAGAGTCAAATGGCCATGACTCCCTTCTCCAACCCTTTCCTGCAGGCGTCCTGCATTCCTCCTTGAACCCCTCTCTTCCTCCATCTCTGTTCTCGTCCCTTTCGGCTCTCTCTGTGAAATCTCCCCCGTCTCCTGGGTCACATGTCACAAACAGGTGACCCCTGGACCAGTCAGTCCACACGCCTGCTCTTTGGTTTTGCCCACGGTGTTTTACAGCTTTTAGAATTAGTTGCCATATCAAAATATTTAGATTTCATATTTCTGTTTTAAAAATGCCAATTTCCAGTTTTTCTGGAAATCAGAAATCCTGGAGACATCAGGTCCACTTTCCACACATGCACCATCGGTGACGTGAGGTGTGATGCTCCAGTGGATCCAGGGTCTGCTGCCCCCTTCAGATGAGACATGTGCTCCCACCTCGATTACATTTCCACCTGCATGGGCCCCTCTGGCCCTGCCCTTTCCTGAGTCTGAGGTCCACCCTGTAGCTTACCATAAGCTACCTTAAGTAGAAGACCCTTGCGGCCCTCCAAACTCAGCATCCTTAAACCAACTCGTGGATTCCTACCCATTCTTCATTCTCCATCCACCCTAAGCCTGCTCCTATTCTGCAATTCCCTGCTCCTGACATCATCCCACAGACATAGCACCTTGGAGTTGTCCTTGACCTTCTGCAAGAACCATCCGCTCTGTGGTAACTGCTAGGCTTCCCTCAGGGGCTCTGTGCAATTCCCCCTCAGTGTTTTTGATGAAATAAATCCATGGTTTGGAATGTCGTTTCCTCTGCTTTCTCCTCTCTTACATGCTGTAGTTTCTCAAGAGATTCTGGATTACATCATCCCTCCCTAAGAAGCTGTCCTCATCCACCGGATTCTTCCACACTCTTGTTCTTCCTCCCATCTCTGACTACCCTTGCCTGTCGCCATCCTATAGAAATTGGCATGTGCTAATTAAGGTTGTCATTTGTCTCTGAAGAAGATTCTCTTTCTCTTGGTCTAGGCCTGAATTGTCCAGTACAGTAACCACTAGTCACGTGGGGTTATTGCAGTTTTAAAGTATATTAACTGAAATCAAGATGTAAAAATCAGGTTCTCAGTCACATAGGCCACACTTCAAGTGCTCAGCGGTCGTACGTGGTTGGTGGCTATTGTACTGGACAGTGCAGACCTAGAACACTTCCATCACCCCAGAAGGTTCTACGGGGCAACAATGGCCTAGACTGTACGTTTCTTGACAACAGAGACTATGATCATATGCATGCTTGTATTTCTACTGCCTAGCATGGTTGAAGCACTCCTGAAAATCCTAATTATGTTTGTTGGCATAGAGGGAAAGAAAAGGAAAAAGAGTTGGAAATAAAACGAAGATCTTACATAAGCAGTGAGAAACAGAAGCTCGAAATAGGTAATTATTGAAAGGGAGAGAGAGAGAAAGAAATTTGCGTTGAAACTCTGATTGTCCTTTGGAAAATGTACTTGTTTCTAGTTAAAGAATAGGGAAGTAGAAAAAGTAATGAGTCCATTTCCTTCATTTCATCT